AAGGAGGCAAGACAGTAAAATACACCTTGGAGATGTGGCCCAAGGTGTTGCCTGCTGGAAGTCATAGAATAGCCTTCAATCTTAGCTACTTATGAAAAAAATATATTTTTATTGAGACAGATGGAGCCACCAAGTTCATCCTGCCTTTTTTTTTTTTTTGAGATGGAGTTTCACTCTTGTTACCCAGGCTGGAGTGCAATGGCGTGATCTCGGCTCACCGCAATCTCCGCCTCCTGGGTTCAGGCAATTCTCCTGCCTCAGCCTCCTGAGTAGCTGGGATTACAGGCACGCGCCACCATGCCCAGCTAATTTTTTGTATTTTTAGTAGAGACAGGATTTGACCAGGATGGTCTCGATCTCTTGACCTCATGATCCACCCGCCTCAGCCTCCCAAAATGCTTGGATTACAGGCATGAGCCACTGCGCCCGGCCCTCGTGCTGCCTTTTTGAAGCTCCTAGACCTAATTAGGCATAAAATTCAACATGTAAATTAACTTTTTCATGTCATTAAAATACACCTTCAAATAAAGGGAGAAAATCTGGATCTTGGAAATTTACCATGAGAGGGGTGGGGAGTGGAAGAAAGACAAAGCCTAGACACACCAACAATGCTCATAGCTAGCCTTTCTCCCTATCCTATCTCACCTCTCCCATTCTGTATATGGAAAAGGATATGTAAGCAACCTAGACTCAAGCTCTCGCTCATCATAAAAGCAGTTTCCAAATGAAGACCAAATAAGAGCTAAAGAAATACACCCATGCATATATATTTTTGACTTCAAATAAAGGTGTGAAAAGAGTGGCCATAGTTAGTATGAATAAGAAGCTTGCAAAAGCATTGCAATGAAAAGGCAAGATGTCGAGAACCATGGAGCATAGCTCACAAGAGGTAATGAGGAAACCCGTTGGAACGAAAACATAGCTTAGAGAAATGCACAAAGATTACCTCAAGTTATAGACAAAAAACTAATTGGAGCACGATTTCAAAAATATTAGACTCAAAGTTGAGACACTAGAACAATGGAGTGGGATAAAAGGGGTGTCGTAGATTTTAGGGAACAAATTAAGAACCAAAACAATATTATTATAAAATTAATGAATTTAATAGAAATCATAAGAATAAAATATACTCACCTACAAGTAAAATAATTGCATAGGAAAACATCTTTGCAAAACCTTACGAATGGAGATGCAAATACATAAGGTAAAGTTAAAAAGGAAGATCATAAGTATGGTTTTTCTTATTTTGTCACTGTATGGTGAGAGCCAGTTTTCATACAAGGCCAAAAGAGAATGACTGAAGGCCAAGAGGTACAGACAGATTCCGTACAATATCACTCAATCACTTGCTTCAACTGTGCCTGAAGCTACAAGTTCCCCCTTTGGACTTTTCAGTTAGTTGAGCAAGAAATTCTCCACTTCTTTGAATAAGACAATTTTACTTAAATTTTTTTCACTTGCACCTAAAATCAACCTTCTTAATAAAATATTTAGAGCTTAAAACAGTCAAGAATCTCAAATAACATTTTAAACTTTCAGTGTCTTATTTCCTCACCTGAAACATGAGGATAATAATTATACCTGCCTCATAAGAAGGTTGTGTGGGATATATCTATATCTGTATCTGTACTTCTCTCTCTCTATGTATCTTACATATCTAGGACAATGTAGTACAATGTCTGGCACATAGTGAGGGTGTTCATGGGAGTTCAGAATTAATTCCACTATGCTATCTTTTCTAAAGTGGAGATATTAGTTGGTTCCATATGATTTGTTCTCAAAAGGTTTCAATGATTAACTCTTAATATATGACAGGCATTTTTCTAAGCATTTTACATACGTTAATTCATTTAACCCTTACAAAACCTATGGAGCAGGAATGTTATTATTCACATTTCTTCTCATTTTGCAGAGACATACAGAGGTTAAGTAATTTTCCCAAGGTCACACAGTCAGTTAGTCATGGAGTGAGGATGACCCCGTAAGCCATGCTCTTTGCCAGAACTTTTAGGCTGTTACAAGAACAGAGCTGTAAGGGCTAGCTGCACTGGAAAATAATCATGAAAGGTTTCTAAGCCAGGAAATGACATTATAGGAGCGAGGCATAAATTTGAAGTAGCATAATTCAAAAACTTCAAAGTGAGATGCTATTATAACAGTGTCTATCAAGCATATTTGAAAGAATCTCTCCTGCCCACTCTATCAAAGGGAATGAAATGAAGACAACGGGTGACTTCAAGTTTCAGCACCTTGGAGAGAACTTTAAGTGAAAGCCAAATTCTGTGTGGTGGCTTCCAAGCAGTCTTGCCTCTGGCGTCTAAAATAATTCTTTGACAAAGATAATTAAAAGGTACATTGAGCAAATATGTCTTTACTGAGGAAATTTCTGAAGTTCATGAAATGTGACTCTTTTCTCTTGTGATTTATAGTCAATCATCCTAACAATGTAGCAAGTTACCATTGTGTCTATCAAAAGAAGGAACTATACAAAGCTGAGGAGAGGCTGTTATTGGTGTGAATGAAGGGTGCTGCCTCCCTGAGCTGTGGAGGTGAAGAAGGTGCTGATGCTAACCTGACAGCAAAAGATGGGGCTGGAAAGCAGAATGAGATGCCAAGGATCTAAATAAGGAAACAAAAGAGAGAAAAGAAGACAAATTCAGAGAAGCAGGACAGGCAAGAAGAACATCTTCCATTTATTAAGAGCCTACTGTATCTGAATATTAGGAATCTTAAATGTATTTCCTTAAGCCTTCAGACACTCAAGAGAGTATAGTTATTGTTTCTCTCATTTTACAGATGTAGGAATGGCAAAAAAGAAAGGGTGAGATGTGGAAAGAAGGAATGTGGAAAGCAAGGTGGGAGGGGAAAGGAGGGAAAAAGAAAGGAGAAGCAATGAACCACCATAAAAATTGAGAGGTCAGAAAAAGGGAAGGGAGAGGAAATAGTGTTCTCATAGAGATACAAATAAAAAACAAAGAGAGAAAAGGTAAAATCAACACAAGTCTAAACCTCAGTGACCCTAGACATGGGACAAGTTGAGCTCTTTTCTTTTTTCTTCTCTTTTTTCCAAGAGAGATTCCATGGAAGAGAACAATTGTTCCAATTATTTTTGCTTGTTTGTTTGCTTTTATATACATGTATTTTATTGCATTTTAGGTTTTGGGGTACATGTGAAGAACATGCAGGATTGTTGCACAGGTACATACATGGTAATGTGGTTAGCTGCTTTCCTCCCCATCAGGTATATCTGGCATTTTTCCCCATGTTATCCTTCCCCAACTCCCCACCCCCCACCGTCCCCCCCCCCACAGATCTCAGTGTGTGATGCTCCCCTCCCTGTGTTGATGTGTTCTCATTGTTCAACACCTGTCTATGAGTGAGAACATGTGGTGTTTGATTTTCTGTTCTTGTGTCAGTTTGCTGAGAATGATGGTTTCCAGGTTCATCCATGTCCCTGCAAAGGACACGAACTCATCATTTTTTTTATGGCTGCATAGTATTCCATGGTGTATATGTGCCAATTCTTGACCATACAGAGGACACAAGAGGAAGAACACACATTGTGTTCTGGTTGGGAAGGGAGCCAGAGATTTGAAATCTGCTCCAGGAAAAATATAACGATGGATCTGCAGGGGATGCTGGATGGCTTCTTTCTGTAGTGGCCCTTCTCTCCTGAAGGAGACTACCAGGGGAGTCCTTATGGCCAAGTATCTCACCTAAACTTCTTAAGAAACATCTCTGGGAAGTAGAAGCCATTATTATCATCATCACATAGCTAGGAAGCAGCTGAGAGCCGATTCAAATCTGATGTGTTTAACACTAAATCTGAATTTGTAAACACTGCTGTTTTCCTTGTTGAATGAGTGGAAAGAAAATTATCATCTCATTAGGATGCACCTATTGGTTAGTACTGTTCAGCAGCAGAGGCTATCTCATTTACTCTTAGAGTGTAAACTATGAGAAGGACATGGATGCAGATTTAGGAGGATGCTTCGACCTATGAGGACGGATGGATAAAAATGTTTAGCAGTTCTCTCTATATGTCCTGCTCAGACAACTATGGTTGAAGACCTCACTGGCTAACCAAAAAGCATCCCTGCCTTGCCCCCTGATCCCACTTGGTTGTAAGCATCCTGTAGTGTTGTTTTTCAAAAACTGAATTAACTGCAAATGTTAAAAATATTGAGAGATTTTTGCATAAAAACCCAGATAGCTTTCTGTACACAGGATAGACCCTGGAAACTCTAGGACATCCAAAATTAAGAGAATTTGTGTCTTTCATAATAGCAGCAATGAAAAGTCTAGGAGTTGATATCCCCACCAGCTAATACTTTCCTGAAGATCAAACACTCTGGCTTGCCAGTCCTCAGTTCACCGGCCCCATGGCTGGGGTTGCAGTCATCCCCACTAAAACCACAGGATGGAAGAATGGGCAGGAAGTGGCTTCTCAAAATTAGACCAAGGTACTGTCACAATAAGAGGGAAAATGGTCACTGTAAAATCAGACTTTCACTGCAATTCTTAGCTAACTACCTCAGGATTCTGCCCTTCATTTTCTATAAGAAATAAATCAAAGTGGAACACTAAACAAGAGCCATCACAGTCTTCATCTTAGAGATTTGGGGATGTGGCTGTTCACGACCTGCCGAGACCTCGCTCATGGTAAATGCTATCCAGGCACCTCAGAACAACTCCGCATTTTCCAAGTCCCAGATGCAAAGTTTTTCTGCATCCCTGAGAGCACAGAGCTCATTAGGATGCACCTATTGGTTAGCACTGCTCAGTAGCTGAGGGTATCCCATTTTTGCTCAGGGGGGAAAGCATGCAAAGAAAATGGTTGTAAACTTGTGAAAATGCTTCTCTTCTAGCCCTTCCAGCCTGACTCATATTGGAGTGAGGACTTGGGATAGTGATTTAGGGAAAGAAAGTCAAAGGCACCTTATTTTACCACGATCCCATATTCCAGCACTGGGATTGTCAACTTATACTCACTATTTATTCAGTCCTTACAGCATCTCTGCACGCTGAGGATCATTAGTCAAAGATGGGAAGATTAAGACAAGACGTGCCTATGCACCCTGTACAAGCCCGTATATCCAGGTACTGATTGTGTCAGAATGTGAGCATAGATGTTGATTCCCCCATTTCTGCTTCTCTCCTCTAATTTTCCCACTAAGACATTTAGATTTGTCTATTTACTCACACCTAGGATCATATCAGACAGACCACAAGCTCCCTTAAATACAAATTGTGTCTGTCCAGGTCATTACTCTAACACCAGGACCCAGTTAGGTATTTGGCTCAATAAATAGCATGAGTTAATATGGGGATGAATGATTTGCTTCGTGCTTAGAAAAGTCATGATATTAATTTTATCCTACAATCATTACGTTTGTTTCTTTGCAGCACCTTTGTCACCTCTGCCCATAAAACCCATTGTTTACAATCCATACTCTGCCAATCGCATGTAAATCCATACACAAATAATGTATTTTTATGATAAATCATTCAAAAACATACTTCACTTAATTTTTGCCACAACCACAGGTGACTTACATATGTTAAGAGCCAGAATTTGAGTCCAATCTAAATCTGTCTGACCCCAGAATTCTTAGCATTTTCTGTTTTTTCATTTTATATATTTATTTTTAGCTTTTAGTTTATTTTCGGGGAACACGTGCAAATTTGTTTTATAGGTAAATTGTGTGTTGTGGGCATTTGGTTCTGTACAAATTATTTTTTCACCCAGGTACTAGGTATAGTACCTGATAGCAATTTTTCAATACTCACCCTCCTCCCGCACTGGTGTCTATTGTTTCTTTCTTTGTGTCCATGTGTACTCAGCATTTACTTCCCACTAAAGAATATAAAGGAAAGGGATACTCTCCTAAGAGAGAGAATGAGGTGTTTGATTTTCTGTTTCTGCATTTGTTTGCTTAGGATAATGGACTCCAACTCCATTCATGTTGCTGCAAAGGATATGGTCTCAGTCTTTTTCATAGCTGTGTAGTATTCCATGGCATATGTGTACTGCATTTTTTTTAATGTAGTCTGTCATTGACTGGCATTTAGGTTGATTCCATGTCTTTGCTATGGTGAATAGTGCTGCAGTGAACATATGTATGCATATGGCTTTATGGTAGCATGATTTATATTACTTTGGTTATATACCCAATAATAGAATTGCTGGAGCTAATGTAGTTCTGTTTCAAGTTATTTGAGTAATCACCAAAATTGCTTTCCACAATAGTTGAACTGATTTACATTTCCACCAGCAGTGTAGAAGCATTCCCTATTCTTCACTGCCTTACTAGTATCTATTACTGATGAACTTTTTAATAACCATCTTGACTGGTGTGAGATGATATCTCATAGTGGTTTTGATTTGCATTTCTCTAATGATTAATGATATTGACCATTTTTATATGCTTGTTGGCACATATATGTCTTCTTTTGAAAAGTGTCTGTTCCTATCCTTTGCCCACTTTTATTGAGGTTGTTTTTCTCTTGTAAATTTGTTTAAGTTCCTTAGAGATGCTGGATATTAGACCCTTGTCAGGTGAACACATTGCAAAATTTTTCTCTCTCTCTGTAGGTTGTCTGTTTACTCTGTTGATAGTTATTATTTTGTCCAGAAGCTCTTTAGTTTAATTCTATCCCGTTCATCAATACACATAGCACTTGTGGTAGCTGTTTATTTTATAAAATTAGACCATACTCAAATTAGTTCTTGTACCTTGCTTTTCTTACTTAATGATACATTGTAAACATATCTCTAGGACAACATGTATAAATCTAATTCAGTCTTTTGTTACAACTGCATAGTACTTCAGGGAATTAATGTACTGTGATTTGTTCAACTCCTCCTTTACTGATGAGCATTCAGGAGGTTTCTGGTTTTTGTATTTTGTCATTTTAAACATACTGCGATAACATCTTCACCTACATATTTTTGTTTACTTGTACATTTGTTTTTATGGGTAGATACCTGAAGTAGGATTTCTGAGTTTGAAGACATATGTGATTTTTGAAAAAATGTAATCAGTATTATCAGACAGCTTGCCTAAACGGCCATAGCATTTCTTACCTACTAGAAATACATTAAGTATCCCCTTCCTTTATATACTTGTCAAATTTCTGTTACCACTTTCAGTTTTTTCTAGTTTGTTGAATAAGAGGTGATGTTTCAATTTTCTTTTCCTGAACACTAACTTTGAACATCCTACTATATGTTTATTGGCCACTGATATCTGCTCCTGTGAATTGCCGAATTACAGCAGAGTCTTCCAGCAGGTCATCAAACCCCATTTCTTCTTCTTCTTGAGCATGCTAACTAGACTACCCTTCCCAGCCTTTTTTTTTTTCAAGACGGTATGATCATGTGACTGATTTCTGTCCAAAGGAATGCAAACAAAAGTCATGTGCTTCTTTACTCTTAGGCCTGTCCTCTCAAATCCTTTCATTGGTGACTTTGTATTTCTGTCTCCCAAGTGCCAATTTAATGCAGAAGACTCTGAGGTCCTGGAGAAAGGCAGAGCTGCAGTATGGAAAGAGCTTGGGCATGTATATTAATGATCACCTACTACATAAGAAGATCCATTTTAGTCTACATGGAATGCAGATAGAAACTTAATGTATTAAGCTACGAATAGTGAGATGATATAGAGCAGTTGCCAGCATCTTTACAAATACTCTATTGATATTCCTTGTTCATGATGTTTTAAAAAGATGCTTAACTTTTTCCTTAACATTTCAGAGTCATCTGATGTAAACATTAACTTTTATTTGCAATGCCTCAAGTTTTCGTTTTTCCAACCTCTTATTTGTCTTTTGATTTTGTACTAATATCCTTTACCTTCATTTATTTTTTAGTAATCACATTAGTGGTTTCTGAAATGCTGTTTGTTATTTAAGAAGCGTTTCTTTAATCTGAGATCTGATAAATATTTTCAGTAAGTGTGTATTCATATTTTATGATGTATTATTTTAATTTTGAAATCTCTGATACTTTGAGTTTATTCTGTGTGTTGTTTATAGGAAAGATTTAGCTTTGCGTCTTCGCAGAGAGATGACTTATTATGCTAGAAACTTTGATTAAATGAACCTTTAGTTTCTACTTCAAGTTGAAATGTTACATCTGTCATATGTTTATTTATATACAAGGATATATTTCTGCATACTTTATTGCTTTTTACTGTAATATCAGTTACCTGTCTGTTTTAATTACAATACTGTTTTGACTAGAGCATCTTCAGAGTATGTTTTTATATAGGTGTTACCTTCCCCATCATTCTTTTTTATCAAAAATTTTATGGAAATCATTCCAAATTTGTTCCTTACTGATTTTATTTTGTTCCATTCCCCTAAAAATTAATCAAGACAAAAAGAAAAAAATTAAAAGCATTAAATGTAAGAATTCTGATACAAATGTTGGTAAATAGTTTTATTAATCTGGAAAGAGTAGATAATTTATGATACAAAGTCATCCCATTCGGCAGCATGCTACATCTCTCCATTAATTCAGATCATGTTTTATGCTCTTTAATAAAATTTTATAGTTTTATTCAGATAAGTACCATGCTTGCTAAATTTATTCATAGATATTTTATAGTTTTTATGACTATTATGAATGGGCCTCCCCTCCTCCCACGTATTTCTAACTGAATATTTTTAGTATTGAATGATCTTTGATTTGTTGCTTCTATGACTTATATTACTATAGGAAGCCCTCCCCACAATCATTGCCATAGAGAATGTGGAGGAATTCCAATGTTTCTTTTATTCTGACAAATTCCAGGGCATCACATACTATGCATTATACCTGGGATATTCTGGGAACCAGGTTGTAAAAAAAAAAAACTGTTGGACTGCAAATGTCTAGAGATTAAGTGAATAATTAGGTATGGGCAGAGGTTGAGCTAAACCAACATATCTGCTGCAGGTGAACTCGTTCCCCTTGAAAGAGCTAAGTAAATTTCTATGTGCCTTGAGCGGAAGTCAATACTAGGTGTTTATAAATCAGTGGTCAGAGTAGGTTCCAAGTGATAAGCTCAGGATAAGCTGCACCTTTGTGTTGAGGATATGAAAAACGGGACTAGAGTGCTGTGTAACGAACGGGTCAGTAAAAGAACTGGGACCATGGCAAGTAGAGGGAGAGATGAGAAATTCAGCAAAACCAGAAATGAAGACTTACTAAGGACCTACCAATAGACAGGTTCAAAGTACCATTGTAAAGGTACAGAGATAAGATTAATATGACTTCTATATGCTACATAAGTTACTGAAAATTTAAAGATAGAAATGCATAGGAATAATTCTGATAAAAATATACAATACTTGTACACTGAAGATTATATAAATGAATTGACAGTATACATTAAAGAGACCCACAAAATTCGAAAGATACACTGTGTTCATAGATCAGAAAACTCAGTATTATTAGGAAGTTGCCTATTCGCCCCAAATTCGAATCAAAATCCCAGCAGGCTATTTTTTTGTGGTACTTGATAAGCTGATTCTAAAATTTATAGGCAAATGCAAAGGCCTTACAACAGGCAAAACAAGTTTGAGGAACAGAGTTGGATAACTTATAATATCTGATTCAAATACTTAATTTAAAGCTAGAGGAATTGAAATACTGGCATTGGTGTAAAAATGAATACACTGATCAACAGAATGGACAGAAAAGTCCATAAATAAATAGATTCACATGTATATGATCAGCAGATTTTTACAAAACTGCCAAAGCAATTCAATGGGGGAAAGAATAATATTTTCAATAATAATTGATTTGGAAAGAAGGAAGGAAGAAAGTGGGGGGAAGAAAGGGGGAGAAAAAAGTAAGAAATAAATAAAAAAAAGAAAGAACCTCAACACTTAGCTCATACAATATATAAAACATAACTCAAAATGGATTAAATGTAATTTAATTGTAAATTTAATTTAAACGTAAGAGCTAAAACCTAAAACTTCTAGAATAAATCACAGAAGAAAATCTCAGGGACCTGAAGTTTGGCAAAGATTTCCTAAATAAAACAAAACAACAAAACAAAATTATAAAAGCAGCACTATCAATAAATTAGATTTTATTAAAATTAAAA